CTCCCTCACCATTTCCTCGGCATCTGCAACACTCTGGCCACACAGAACCACTTTCCATTTTACTGAATGCTTCAAGTCCAGAACATTCTTTGCCCCCTCCTTGACTGGCTGACTCCAGTTCATCAAACAGGCCTCTGTTAAATCATTTCCTCCAGAAAGCCCTTTCCGACCTCGCTACATTGGTTCAGGGAGACCCTCTTCTGGAACTGTCTGTTTCCTCCTCCCTCAGAGCTCCCTGCATCAGGGATTAATCCCATTCAGGTTACATCCCTGACCCCCTGCCTGGAGCCAGGCCTAGGACAGACACTCAGCAACCATCTGTCCATTCGTCAAATGAATGAATGTTGTCCAGTAAAGTGTGATCCTCAGCCAAATCCCCCTTTTTGGCTTTGAAAATACCTCCAATGTAATTAATAGTTTTCCTTTCTCCTGGGAAGCTAATGGCATTAAGAAAAGTGTGGTTATTGGATATTGTTCTTTGGTAAGTACAACAGATCTTGAGGACCCTTCCCAGAACAATTAATGATCATACTGGAGGAAGAAAAGAGAATGGGTAATGGTTGCAAACACTGTGTGAAAAGCTTCTCTTTGTCCAGAAAGTATGCTTGCTGGCTGTTTAATGTCTCTGTGACAGAACAAGGACAGATGTGCTCCTGGTGCCTCAAATAATACAGCAGAGCTCGACATCTCTATGGGGGACAATGTGGGGAACAAAGGGTCTGGAATGTCTCCCTTCTTTGAAGCGATTTAAGAGTCCAGGAACGCTGTGATAATCAAAAGACAAGCCCCCTACAGGAACCTAGCTGAAAGCAGTATGGGGAATACCTAAATGCACAGCTGTGTGTTGTCCTGGATTGGGAATAAAGAACAAATAGGAACCCTTGGCTTGTCTCTGGTGTTCTGAATCCACATTTAAAAACACTTCCTATCTTACCACATTTTAAGGTCTTAGTCTGGGGAAAGTAGTCAGCCCTGATTTTGATTAGGTTCTGACATTTTTTCTCCCAAGACCCCATGTAGCACAGGTACCCAGAGGTGCCCAACTACCAACTGCTGACCTAGTGTGGAGCTCTCAAAAAACGTGAACTCACTGTGTCTGGAAAAAAGAACTCCTTTCTCAAGAGGTTGTGGTGGGGATTATTATCCACTCCCCTGCTGCCTGAGATGGGTTTGTGACTCACCCGGTCCATGACAGCTTGACATCTCCTAACCAATGTGATTTGTTCACCAAACTCGAGGCTCAGGAAGGGGATATAATTCTTGGATTTGTGTTGGGGCACTGGGGAAGAAGAAGCCCCTTTTCTACTGGGGTTGCTGAGAGAAATGTGCTCTAAATCTGGAGTTACTAGATGCCTTCCTGAAGCCACCAAGGGAGAGACTACCTGAGAATGAAGCCAACACAGAAGAAAACAGACCCAAGGGTTGGAGAGTGCAGGACCAAGTCCTGATGATAATAGTTGAACTCCTGGATCCAGCTATACCTGAAGCCACGATCCTTGACTTTTTAGTTAAGTCAAGTAAACTAATAACTTCCCATTTAGCTTAACCAATTTGATTTGTATTTCTGTCCCTTATAAACCAAGAGAGTTTGGGCTCATATAAGGCTGTGGCAAAGCTCAAATGATAAAATGCATATGGAAACACAAACTATAAAGCAGTAAGAAAATCGAGGGGTTTCTTACTGTTCCTGTTCAACAGCAACAACAACGATAGCGATGATGATAATAACAATATTAAGAAGAATGGAATCTTACCAATATTCTTCCCCTCCAGCCATGCATTTTTCATACACAGGTCCCTCTAGCTCCCGGGGGCTGGGGAAGATGGCTTCATGATGGATGATGATGGTTTTGATGACTTCGTTGACGTGTGCCTGGCAGGACACAGGGTCCTGCCCATCAGGGATGTGCATGAGGGTGGGCCCGAAGCAGATGGCCAGGTTGTAGGGATCCATCATGTTCTCGTCACTATACTGCGAGAGGCTACAAGAAAGGAGGTACTCACAAGTCACCTGGGAAAGGGAAATATTTCCCCCTGTGGGTTCTTTCTTTCGAGGGCTCTACTCAACTCCAGGAGGGTTCCATGTTCTGTTTTAGGAACAGCTGCACCTGCAAAAGCCTCAGGACATCCCCTCCCAAAGAAGGCCAGAGCTGAGGCAAAGAGGGGCCACCCCACCACCCCCAAATGGCCAGGCAACTCACTGGTTGAGGAAAGCAAAGAGGTATCTCATGACCACGATGACCACTCGGGGAAGGGTGATGAGGATTTGCTGGATCTGGTGCACCCTGTCAGCTGGGTTCTCCAGTTCTGTAACACAGAGGGGCTTTTCAGGGGGTCTTTCATCCTCAGGGAGCCAGGCAGCCAACATTTCCTAGAGCAGTCCACACGGTTCTGGCCAAGACAGTTCTCTTGGTTCTAGGGATTGATTCAAGACCCTCGTCTGGCCACTCACAACAAGTATGTGAGTCAATTCACTCCCTTTTATGGATGAAGCCAGTATATACTGAGTTTCTGTCACCTGATATCTATGAGTCCTGACTAACACAGACACGGGCCATGTTCCCTGAACCTCTTGATGAACACCAGCCGCACCACAGGCCTGGCACAGAGTAGGCTGGAAATAAGTTTGAGTAAACAACCAACTCTACAGCTCTATACTGGCCAAGGAGCTTGTCTCTGAGCCTGGTTTCCAGGCCCATCCTAGACAGAGAGACGCTGGTATTTTTGTCATTTGGGCTACGGGCAGGAGCAGCAAGCTGGGCTTGGTAAGAAGATGGGCTTTGTGGGCTTTGCCTCATAGAGAGGGAAAGCTGGTGCGAACACTGAGCTGCCAGAGTTCTGATGTGTGCCTGCAGGGCTGATGCCCAAGCCTATGCCAGTTTCTCTCTTAGAAAACATGTTTTTCTCACATAGCCTCTCTCTCCAGCCTCCACATTCTGTCAGCATGTTCCTTCTAAAACACAGCTTCTCCTGTTTCTCCTCCATATCCCAGGCCTTTCACAGCAGGGCTTCTGCCAAGCTAGCCTACCTCACCTCCTAGCTGCCGCCCCTTCCCCAAGTTATCTGAAGATGATACGGAGTCATGCTTCTCAAATGAGGTGGCAGTGCATCTCTGGGCACTTACAAATTCATGGGGCATTCTTTGGGGTTGTCACAATGACCTAGAGGGAACCATTGGCATCTGGGATCCAGGGGTCAAGGTGCCAAATGTCCTGAATGTATGGGACACACAATACGGCACTGCGTTACCCTAAATGCCAACAGCACCCCCACGGACAAACTTTGTGCCAGGCTGTCTTCACCATGATCTCCCTCTCACAAAAGGCCTTCCTGCCCCTGGGCCTTTGCACACACTGGTGATCTCTCTACTCTACCCAGCAGACTCTAGCTTACCTTCAAAGTCTGAAACCAAGGGGCCTTGCCCAAGCCTCCCCACAGAGCTAAAGGTCCTTGGATATTTACTGATTCCACTGCCCTTTATACAGGCCACTCCCTGTCCTCAGCTTCAGTCATCAGTACCCTAGTACCCTTCCACTTCAATACATCACTTTCTTAAATACATTTATTTAAAGAGGAAATTTTACCTCATTCTGTAAATGAGAAACCAGGATCACTTGCTCTGATTAGGAGGTAACATAAAAATAGATAAAATGAAAGCAAAACAATGTTACTAAATTCTAGGTAGGCACTGTTCTACACAAAGTTTCTGAGACTGAAGCCTCATCTCTTTATTTAGAAGGGAGACTGACCTCTGAAATTCTCTCCTGGATGTAATCGCAGGGTTTAGGAGAGAACTGAGAAAAGATTTTTTTTTTCCCCACAGTGTGATTCAAGATGTGATCCAAGGTATGTAATGTTATGAGCTTATACCAGAGGCCAACAGGCTTGTCCCCTCAGGGCTATGCGCAGGAACTAGACTAATGGGACTTCTGGAAACACTAGCTGAGCACGTGACACGGAGCTCAAATACAGTTGGACCTTTGTGGCCTGGAATTTCTGAGGGTGATGTGGAGCTTGAAGTGGATCTGGAAAGATGAGCAGGAAGCAGTGTGGAGGAGAGCGGGGCAGAGGTAGCGTCTTTCATAACGGCAGGCAAGAGGCTTGAAGCTCCAACCCGCTGGAGCGTTTCCTGGCTGCAAATCCCTCTCAGAACATTGTGAAAAGCATCCCGATTACTACTGGGCATGGGACAATTTTCTGTAAATCACAGTTTATTCTAAAATACTAAGATTCTCATATTGTAATATTGAAAGCTTATTTTTAAAAATTCCCAAAATGTTGCCTTGGATTTGGGCATCGTACAGTCAAGGTAACTTGATTTCAGCCCCCTAGACTGGGCTTCTGCCTTCATCCAAGAGAACTCCGATGGCTTGTGACATCAGAAGAAGCCCACAGTCAATTTATTTTCACCATTTTACTCGCCTGTCATGTTGCTGACTTGACTCCCAGACCCTCTATGGCTCCCTATTACCCAAGGGGAAAAGTTCCAAAATCCTTACAGGGTCATTCCCCTCTTTCTCTATTTTACCCTTCCAGCCTCTTGCACCATTCACTGGCTAGAACACCTTCCTCTGGTCCCTTTAGTCTGTGTGTCCCCAAAGTCTTCCCAGGATACTCTGTCCACTCCTCTTGGAAGGCTCTGCTCACATCACTCTCTCAGTTGTGATCTGCAAAACCAAGCTTCCCTCTGCCTCTTCTGAGCTACATCCATACCCAATGGTACCATGCCATTTTCCATTATAAACCATCTTATTATCTCTACAACTAGTTTTTAAGTTCTATGAGAATAAGGGCCATACTGCTCCTTTCATACTATCCCTCCCATGTGCCTAGCACAGCAATGAGCCCATAGAACAACTTCAATAAAGGTATGTCACACAATTGATCCCTCTACCATACCACCTATGAAATACTTACTAATAGTAGATATCAAATCTTGAAACCTTTCCTTAGGAAAGAGTGGGTTTTCCAGTCCTCGGAAATACAGTTTTAAAACACCAGCGACTGAATTGATATCTCGTTCGTTTTGATCATCCACAAGTGGGTCTTCGCCTGAGAGGAGAGAGGAGATGATAATTCAGCTTGGTGAGGAGGCAGGAAATGTGCAGGTGGTGGGAGGGGATGGCCTGGTGTAGCCTGAACTAGGGGAGACATAGATGGGCAGCCCCCTTGACAGAGCAAGTTTAGAGTTCTCCCTATACCTGATTTTGAAAATGTTCAACTCGATGGAAATATCGTAAAAATAAAAAACTGAAATCACCCTTCACTCATGCTCATTAACTTACACTCATCTTTCCATATTTGCTTTCTCTCTTTACTCACATTTATTATTACTCAATGATTTGGGAGTATTTTGTAGACATCACAAAATGCCATTGCTAAATACTTCAACACATTTCTCCTAAGAATAAGGATATTCTCCTACATAGGCACATAACATCATTACACCTAAGAAAATTAACAATAGTTCCAAAACACCATCTCATATATAGCCCACATTCAAACATTCCCAATTGTCCTGTCTTTCATAGAATTTTTTCAAAGGCTAAGATCTAATCAACATAATTCATTTGGTTGTTATGTTTCCTTAGTCTTTGGAATGTAAAAGAGGCCCCAACATTTTTTATTGTTGGTTTGTTATAATGTTGCCTCTTCTGAGGAGTCCAGGCCACTTGCCTTTTGGAATGCCTCCCACTCTGGATTTGTCCCAATGTTTCCTCATGATTGGATTTAAGTTAAACATTTTTGGCAAGAATAGTACATGGGTGATGTTGTGGACACCACACTGGATCCAGAGGCACATAATGTCAGCCTGTCTTGCTGCTGGTGTTATGAAGTTTGGTCCATGGATAAAGGGGGTGACCTCCAGATCTCTGCACTGTAAAGTCTATTTTCCCCTTTGCAATAGTAGGTGTTAAATATAAAATGTTTTTGAAAATAACAAGTGATCTATGTGTAAGTCATTGTGCTCAACATGTTTCACCCAGTGCTTTTAACCTCCAGTGATGATTTTAGCCTAAATCAATTATTATCCTGGGGTTACAAAATGATGAATTTCTAATTCTGTTATTCCTTCTACATTTGTTAGCTAGCATTCTTCCATAAAAGAAGAGGCTTCCCCATGCTCTCTTTAAATTATTATTATTATTATTATTATATAACATCTTTGTGGGATTGTTTTTATAATTTTTAATTTAATGTGTCATAATCCATTATCATCACTATTCTTTGGGATGCTCAGATTATCCCCAATTTTGCCAGGGACAAATGTCCTTTATAGGTGACCTCCACTGAGCATATCCTTGCTTTCTGGCATAAAAGATGCTCATGGATCATTTTATACTTTCCCTGACCCAGATCTGGAATCAAACATTTCTCCAAGGGGTACTGTTTGCTTTTTGTAGGGAATGGCATTTAGAGACCAAGATCTAAGTTCCAGGTGTGCTCACTGGTACAGGAGTGCTATAAAGAGCTCCTAAACCTTTCAGGGGATAGAGGGAGAATACATATATATTTTTTTCATGAGTCCACACAGTTACTTCCAATTCATATTTAAGATTCAACATTTCCTTTATCTTCATTTATTTTATATTTGTATTTCATTTTGCTTAGTGAAAAATCTTGGTTCTGAATCACATTAATAATGTACTTCTGTATCTGCCTTATTCTACAATATACATAACATAGTTTTGAAATGTTAATAGCAATATCACCACTAACAATAAACCTACTACATAAAGTTTAAGATTTCTTTGCAGGGCTTTTGTTTTTGTTTTGGGGGCAAGGGGTTAGTCCTCAGAAAATATCCTGCTAAATATGTGTGGTCAGAAGACACAAAGAACATGAGTGGTTACCTAGGGTGGGGGGCTGAGGTTCAGGGAGTCTCATGAGTAACTACTCCTTATGGGTACAAAGTGGGTACAAAGTTTCTTTCGGGGATGATGAAAAATTTCTGAAATTGGATTATGGTGATGTGCACAATTCTAGTATATTGTACACATACTAGAAACCACTGAACTGTATAATTTAAAAATGGGTGAGCTTTATGGTATATAACTCAATAAAGCTGTAAAAATATATGACCAGAGCACATGTTCAAAAGTGACTCTCTTTGTGATGATCAATTTGATACATAGCTTGTTTCTATTTCTGTTTAATTTTAGGGACTGATTTTTTTTTTTTTTAAGAACTCCTTTCTTAAAAATTTTGCAGTTTTAAAAATATAAAGCAGTTACATTGTCCAAAAGTCAAAACTAGATAAAAAATTACATCCAGACAAGTCCTACTCTTCTCCTTTCCCTTCCCCACCTTACATTTAACCATTTTCATCAACTTCTGGTTTGCCCTGTGTTTTCTTCTCCCACAATAAGCAAATACATATATGAGAATTTTTTATTTCCCTCCATTTTTTTAACAGAAAATGTAAGTAGTATATAATACTGCAACATATTGCTTCTTTACTTCACAATAAATACTAGAAATCCCTCCATATCAGTTCTTAGAGATCTCCCTTATGCTTTTTTTTTTTTTTTATGGTTACAAAGTACTCTATTTCACTGGTCCACTATGACTTAACCATGGTTAAGTCTATGGATTGAATTAATCTATGAATTAATCTGTCTATGGATTGACATGTGACTTCTTTCCAATCTTTAGCTCTTAACAAATATTGCCACAACAAATAATCCTGTGTGTTTTATATTTGTGGAGGTGCATCTCTGGTCAAGTCTTAGAAGTGGGATTGTGGGTCAAAGGGTACATTTCATTCGACAGAGCCAAATTCTGTCCTACTGGGGCTGCACCATTCTACACTCCTACTGGCAACACAGGGAATGGTTTTTTCCCACAGCCTTGACCATAGAATGCTGTCAATCTTTCTATTTTTCCCCCCATTGGACAGGGAAAATGATATCTCAGGAGAACAACACTTTTCAATTTAATCCTGGGCTGTTCAGCTCAATCGCCCCGAGTTTCCAGTGGAGGAAGTGAAAGGAGACACAGAGCAATCCATCCACCCCCTCCCTGAAGGTGCTGACAGATGTCTTTTCCTCCTTCTCCCAGAACAGCCCACAGAATGTTCTAAGACTGGCAAGCAGTGAAGAGCAGAGCTGGAAATTCATACTTGGATCTCTTTACCCCACCTCCGTAGGAAAAGAATGCATGTCACTGCCAGGGCCTCTGCTAGCCCCAACATGCGTCAGTGCAAATGAGAGAGACCCCCCCACCCCCCCACTTGCTTCCTGAACCAGGTGTTGTGGCTTACAGAGCATGAACCAGAGCTCATGCTCCCACCTGCCCTCTTTGGCTGAGCACCCCCGCTCCATGCCCAGCCTGAATGACGGTATGTGGCTGCCCAGACACCGACGTTCCATAGCCCAACCTCTCAGATACCCCCAGAGAACAGGAGAATTCCTTGTGAGGAAGGATGAGAGAAAACATAAAAAAGCACTGCCTATACTGATATAGCACTTCTCAAGTGAGAAGCACATTCACACACATGATCTCCCTTAATCCTCCCAAGAGCACCGCCTGGCGCTGAGGAAGGCGTGGTTCCAATACCACCGTTCTCTCCAGTGAGAAAACTGAGGCCCAACAAGCAAAACGACTTGGCCACATTCACTGTAAAAACAGACACCAGCAGCTCCCAGGGCTCATAATGCCTGGGAGATATTCTTCCTTTTACCAGTGTCTGTCTGTCTGCTTCCACGCCTCTCTCCTACCTTCCTTCCTTTAGAGTAGAATCCCAACCTTTTCTTTTTCTTTTTCAAGAAAAAAAGTTTCTCTGAATGCTCCATACATAAAACAAAGCTGTCTTAGTTGAGCTGGGAGGAGAGGTCCACACCTCCCCCCCAAGCCCCCTCTCTGTTCCTCTAGCACCCCTTGAAGCCCCTCTGAAGGACTGGAAAAGTTCAAAACCTTTGGACTGCAATTAGCTATTTCTCTATTATTAGCCCATATGACCTTTGGGTTCTCATGATTCAAAAGCACATGGATTTTTCTTCTCCACAGTGCATGTTAGCTCCCCTCACCAAGCACGATCCACATATGGACTTTATATATACACATATATACTACCTATGTATGCATGCACATGCATGCGTGTACACACACGCGCGCGCACACACACACACACACACACACACACCATTTGCTCTTGCTTTTCCTCCCTGAAGGCACATAGTCCATGAAAGGAACCATCCAAATATTCCAAATATTCTCTCCGCCTAGCCCAGGACTTTGGCTCTCTGCAGGGCAAGTCAATTTTGGTTCCAGAAACAACCAGAATTCCAGACCTCAGGATGAGCAGGACGGTTTGTGGGAATGGTGGCTTTCTCCAGGAGAACTACAGCTAAAACTCTAGGCAAGTCTGAGAGAAAGCTGTGTTCACACTGGGCTGCTACCTTCCTGGGGGAGGAGGAATTGTTACCCAGCAGCCCTGCCTGCAGTACCCTCTTAGCCAGGTCACCGGGCACTTCGGGGGACTTGACAGCAGAGCTGTCGGTGCAAAGTGTGAACACAGTGTGTGCTCACAGGCTCTCAGGAAACCTGCCACCAGACTGGGTACACGGCAGGAAGCTCACAGGTGGCCTCTCACACAAGGACAGTTAGTTCTGTGGCCACAGGTTCTCCTAAGCCCCATCTTCGGTTCCTCAACAAGACAGCTCCTCCCAGTGTCTCCCCTTTACCCTCCTCTCCCTGGGACAGGATTTAGATCTCTGAAGGGCCAGGGCAAGAATGTATCAGACCCCACATGCCATGACTTCAGCCTCAGATCCAAACCCTATCCTGATCTGCACAGGTGAGAGACCATTGACTCCCCTTCCAGTCACCCCTCCACATAAGGAAAGCCTCCTGGCAGCTCTCTCATCATTGCATACAAAGGGGACAGTGGATAGGTCTGTGGGGAGAAATAAAAGAGATTTCCCAGGAAAACTGGCCTGAGAGACAACAGCAAAGCATGGCTCTCTCCATGGCAGGGCTACTGATTTCCTATCCTCTTGTGGGGTTTCGCCTTTGTTTTGCCAGACTGCAGAAAGAGCTCAAAACTTGCATGATGAGCTTAAGGCTTACTGACAGCAAAAAAAAAATCATATCATTATCATTTCCGCCTCAACTAAAACCCTGGCTGGCTCATGTCAGAAGAAAAAGAAAGTGGGTTTAGGAATAATAAGTCAAGAATGAATTTCCTACATGTTGCAATTTTTCAGAACCTTAAAGAAAACAGATCTGTGCTCCTTTCAACAGCCTCATACAAGAAGTGTAGGCAAGAACTTCACCCAAGAGAGAAGGAAGGGGGCCAAGGAAAAGAAAGACCCAAATCTCCTTGAACAAATGGCACAGGGTAGGCACCCTGCAAGGACTGAGGGACTTACATTTTAACAAATAAAAGGAAGAAAGGAAAAATGCACAATGCACTGGTTTAAAGAGAAAATTCAGTCACAAGTTAGAGTGTGTGGGATGGAAGAGTGGGTGAGGAGAGAAATACTGAGCATCCCCAGCCTCGGTCACCTGGTTGCCCAGTATGGAGAAATGCAGCAGGGGTGTGGGAAGCTACCAGTTTCAGGTGAGGTGGGAGGTGACCCTGAGGGTTAGCTGAGTAAGGAGCCAAACCCAGGGCACTTGGTTGGTGAACTTCAAGAAGCAGAAAAAGTAACAAGGAAATCTGGGCAGTAGCGAGCCCACAAAAGCCAGGAATGGATTTTTCTAAAAAAGACCTACCAGGAACAGTTTGTTTGTTTTTGTTTGTTTTTAGAATAAGCCACAGTTCACCACAGGTTCAGGTAGAGCAGAAAGAAATGGCTGCTGCAAAAATGAGATTCATTCTGGAATGAGGGAGAGAGGGAGGGGGTGAGCCAATTTGCATACTTGAGACAAAGAAAAAGCAGAAAACATTTTTGCTGCTGAGACTTGGGTCAGGTGATCTCTGCCCAGTGGGGCTCTGCCCAAGGTGATCCAAGGCCTATTTGGAGCAGGCACCCAAGCAAGCGACAGAAGGCACTGATCTCAGAAAATCACATTCAAGAAGGAAAGAAAGCGGTGCTCTTGGAGCAGGATTAGTGCTGGGCTGCCTGGTATCAGAAAGTTACTTACAGAACCTAAGGAAATAGGGAAATTCGAGGCAGGGGCAATTGCCAGGCTGGAGGCCCTGTGCAGTGAATTTACCCATGAGATTTAAGGAATTCTGTAATGCAATGAGACCAAGAAGATGGAACCAGCAAAGATTCTAGACCTGGTTCTGTTCATTTACAATGAACACAGGGCAGCAGGGGTGCTACGGAGTTGGGAGAAATGAAGAAACAAAACTTTGGATTGGGCTGTCCAGTGTTGTCAAGAGAAGCTCAGAGAATAATGACTAATACTTCCATCAGGGAGGCTGATGGGAGATACCTCTTGCTTCCGGGCCTTTGCATATGCTATTTCCTTAGCCTGGAATGACCGTTCCCTACTGTTTTTTGGTTCTTACTCCTTAAGCCTCAGCTTGGGCATTTCCTTTTCCATTCAAGAAGACTTCTCTGGGTTTACTACTCCTCCCCACCCCAAACAAGCTGGGCTAGGGGTTCCCATACCACCTAGTACTTACTCCATGGTCTGCTTAAACTGGCTCCCTACTAGTCATGACTGTCTTTTGCTCTGGCACAGTGTAAGGGCCCAGTGAATGCATGCTTGTTGGGATGGCAATAAACTCATGAGGAGCTTGCAGCAGGGGAATTCTGGGGCTTCCTGATTCTCAGTTCCCAAGATCCCTCAGCTCCTCTTGCTCCTTCGGCAAGATCCTGGAGCAGGCTCTAAAACAGAAGCTCCACAGGACATTAGGAGGCCATCAAGCACCACATCCAGTCAAATCTTGCGCTCTGAACCCGGTTCAAAGCCAGAGTGCCAAGGGCCACAGAGGTCTGTGCTGGGGACCATGGCACTGACTGCCTGGGGCTCACAGAGTGCTTCCTCCACTCCAGAGCTAGGCCACAGATAGAACTGCGGGGAACAGTGAAGGGATGAGTTTGCTCAGGAGGCACCCTCTCCAGAGGAAGCTGGGTAATAAGTAGGGAGACTTCCAGGGCTAGAACTAGGGGAGAGGCCTGCTCAGAGCACAGCCAACAGGGACAAACCAAATACCTTCCAAAACTATTAGGAAGATTATGTAGAAGGAAGGGTAAGACATGCTTTGTAAATTGGGACATGATATATTACAGGAAAATGGGTTCGGATTGGGGTCCTCATTTTTTTTTTGCCAAGATTTTACATTAAAAAAAAAATTAAGATATTCTAAAAGTTACTCAGTATTATCTGTATTCTTCCAACTTTTCTTAAAAAAGCAGCAGCCTTTTTGATTCACATTATAATTTCACGTGCTTTCCCTCTTTCCCAGCAACTACTGTACAGTCGCTAGAGAGAGTTGTGCTGGTAAATGTTTCACAGCCAACTCTTTAGACGGAAAAAGACGAAAGATCTTTGGCATTTGCCAACTTCTGCAGTGTAAATACTCCTGCCTTGGCTGATTTCAAGCTACCAAGGGGAAAGCACCGAATGCAGCCGGAAAGAGATATCGATACAAGCCAGCCCCAGCACATTGCTGGCTCTGAGACACACATCAACACCCGTCCTGGCTTCCTCTAGACACAAGCTTGAGATGGTGACTCTGCACCTACCTCTCTCAAAGGAATTTTTTATGTCATTGACTTCAACCTGAGATCCTGGAACTCGGAAGATCCCTTGTTGTTGGAGTCCTAAAAGAAACAAACAAACAGAAAATGCCATGATGCCTTGAGCTCATCAGACTGCTGGGCACACATGATTCTCCCCATTGCTTGTCTCTTTCTCCCAGCACTCTTCACAAGGGTCTTTCCCAGTAAAGATCTCCTGACAGAAGCCCAAAAGTAGCCTTTGCAATTAACTTCATCTGGCCAAAATACTCTGCACCATCCTGCTTCATGTGTCTGTGATCTCTTGTTGGGGTTTGAAGGAAAAGGCCATAAGAGGTTGATATCAACACAGGACCAGTGAATAACAACTTCCAATCTAGCCGAGGTGCACTTTGCCTATCAAGTACGCTAGGGACACTAGCACCAAGGAGCTTGGCCTGAGTTTACAAATGCCATTTCAATGTAACAGCCACAGAGATTCTGAACAAGAATGACCAATATCATTCACTTGACCATTCCCATCCTCTGCCTATTCAGACATCTTCTTCCTTCCAGGAAAAGCTTGAGTCTAGAGTGCATGCTGGCCTGGGATCAAGGAGCTTAGGGGACATTAAATTATCAAAGAAAAGGAATATTTTTCTTATGTGCTTCTGCAAGGCCATAACAAGGGGGACACCCCAACAGCTGATATAAAGTAACAATGCAGGATCGGAATCTATAGGGCTGAACAGTAACCTATAGAATTAAAGGAATTAAAGGGCCTCTCTCATCTTGAATGGGAATTCGTGGGGTGACTGTGATCTTCACCCTCACATTTAGTTTTTCTATATAAAACAACCCTTCACATTAAAATTTAGGAAAGTGTTTACCTCTAAATGGCAGGCTTTAGTCCAAGTTTGGTTTGTATATAGTATGTGCTCAATAAAAACATGTTTATGTCTTTCCTAACCAATCTTATGTCTTATATCCCACCACCCCCCACATATTCCCATTCAGTCACACTTGTCTTCCTTCCCATATTAGACCTTTACACCTGCCAGGCACAGCTGGCTGCTTCTACTCAAATATCAGCCCCTCAGAGATGTTTCTACTTACCACCTTAGCCAAACACAGCCCTGCCACCCTTTAGCCATTCTCTATCCCCTTTTCATTAGTTTCTTTGCATTATCACTACCTGAAATTATATTATTTCTTTATCTGCTTTTTCCCTTGCCCTTCTAATTGGTAATGTAAGCTACTTAGGGCCAGCACCTCACCTGTCTTATTCATGCCTATATACCCATTGTCAGAACAGTGCTTGCTACACACTCTGAAAATCAATTTTTAGAGGAGTGAACGAATGAATAGATGGAAGCCCAAGGGCAGCGCTGGCGACACCATGGTTAGCGCATCCCAGACATTCTATTTCCTTTCTGGAACTGACTAGAGCCAGTTAACTGACCATTCACTGTCTAGCTACCTTCAGTGCTCAAAACACAGACTCCTGAGGTGGGGTGGGAGGCATGAAGGAACTGAAACAGTTCTCCTACCCATGCCCTTCCTGATCCTTGGTTTTCCTAGTTCCTCAGTTTTCTCACCACCACCTTAGTCCCCAGACACACAAGGCTCAAAAAGGCACTCAGCACAGCACCTGTGCCAAGAAGCACTTTCTCTCTAGGAAGCAGGGCAGTAATGGGAAATCCTCTGAGACTGATTAAAACCTCATTTCATGTGAGGACAGCCCAGTGCCTGCTCTGGAGAGAGCGGAGAACACGCCCCGGGACTGCGCTTACCGTATAAATTGATGTACCGAATGCAGCTTTCGACTACAAGCGGGATAGCTTGTCCTGAGTCCTGAAGAGAAACAGTCGTGAGTTGTACTGGGCTCGGCAGCCACCACAGGGAAAAAGACACTGCAAACACAGATTATGAACTCAAGCCAGAATATTAGTACCATCGGATTAGTTGGAAAATAAGCAAAGAGCTGCTAATCCTCAAGTCTCCACAAACAGTTAAAACAGAAGGTCTTCAGTTAGGTGCAGAAAAAGGCATAGCTATGATAATTGGAAAGAAATGCTCTGTCTTCTTACTTAGCTGGGAAGAAATCAGGGCTCAGAAGGCTTGGCAGGCACATCTGGGAAGGGGAGGGAACCCACTGCTCGGAGAGGGCTGGAGTTCGCTCTTGAAGAGTGCTTTGCCTTCCCCTCCATGTTGTCCCACTCAACCCTATGCTCCCAGTGCTCAAGGATAAAAAGGCAGGATCGAGACCTCCTTCTAGCACTGCGGTACCTGATGCTTGAAATAAGAAGAACGCACTAAGGGAAGCAAGGATGGCCCCCAAGGGTCCTTTTGAGCTCGAGAAAGGAAGGCCAGGTCTACTCCTGAGGTTACATCCTAAACATCCAGATGGATACTTTGTTCAACAATAAAGGTGTTATAAGGAGAAGTTCTAGAAACAGCTAATGTCAGCCACTGACCACTGAGTGGCCAACCTTAGTCAAAAAGGCTGAATAAGGGGCACCTGGCTGGCTCAGTGGGTTAAAGCCTCTGCCTTCGGCTCAGGTCATGATCCTAGGGTCCTAGGATCGAGCCCCACATCGGGCTCTCTGCTCCACGGGGAGCCTGCTTCCTCCTCTCTCTCTCTCTGCCTGCCTTTCTGCCTACTTGTGATCTCTGTCTGTCAAATAAATAAATTAAATTAAAAAAAAACTGAATAAGACACAGCTCTAAACTTACGCAGGGCAGGAGGTATGAATATATTTTCAATTGCATCTTCCTAGACAGGCCCACAACCACAAAGAGCTGGGCAACAGGTAGTTTTCTCTCGGATTCCATAATTGGTTGATCGCTCTATTATTCCAAATCACTTGAAGAGCACAAAATCTTTTTTTAAACTTTCTGTAAAAGGGGCCAAATTAAATTACTAACCTCCTCAGGTGAGGAAACAAGGCACTTGTAATATGTTCATGTAAGAGACAGAAAAACCCCACGAATTTCGATGCCTTTGTGGCTCCTCCACACCCCACCTGTGAAGCCTCTCCTTAGTTAACAACAGTCAGGGAGAGGATAAAATGGACCCTGTGGCTATAGGCAAGGTGGGCCATGCTCTAGAAGTCAGTACTAAAGACAGGTTCCATCCAGTTGAATGGGGCTAACGGACCTTTCTAGTAAATACCTGGTTCCTGGTTCGAGCATTTCTTCTTCCTCTGATAACAAAAAATAAACAGGCAGCAGAGCAGGAGAAAAAGAAAAGATTACGCAGGAGTAAGATCAGTTAGAGTAAGCAGATCCTTCAGAGTCCGTGAACGCGGAAATGCAATGGCAGCCAGCAACGGTCCTGGGGTGACGGCCAACCAGCCTGCTGGTGGGGAGGGCTGCCCCTGTACCTCAGGGCCTCGTAGGGGTTCTGCACCCGGCCCCAAGCCAGCCTGCCGGGTGCCTGCCTTGGACACGAGGTGGCAAAGAGGCCTCTATCAGTCCTTGGCAAGCATAAGGATGGTGTGTACGGAGCCCCTTCCTCATCCCACCTTTAGCTTCTCCTCAACAGGGGCTGTTCACCCACCAATGGGCAAGGGCCCACCTAAGACACCTTAAGGCTAGCCCAGTTGCCCGTAAGAAGGAGGGACACACACCTTCAGGCATCTACTGTAGCACTGTCCCTGCAAGTCAATTCGGGAAACCTCATTTCACCAAGTGAATTTCACCAAGATTGTGTTTATGAGGTGTCCTCTGGCTACAACCTGACAGGATTCCACCTGATTCCAAATTCAAACAGCTTCCGTGGTTTCTGACCAAATACCCCAGGTAGCTTTTCCTGGGTGCTCATTGGCTTTGCTCTCCTTCCTACTCCCTGACCCTCACAGTGGCACTGAGAATACCTCAGGGAACCCCAAAGCTGAGAAAAGCCTGGGGGAGGGACGGCAGTAGGGGGTCAAAACGCTCTTATGGTCTTGTAGGTAGAACTGGAGCCTTTACTGTCACAAAGCCACCCATTTTCAGGGGAGCTCCATGGATTCTTTCTTCCGTATGTACAGCAGGCCAGGCTCTGGGGTGTGAGCTTTATTTCATTTGGGCTCCTTGAGAGGCTAACCTGAGAAAGTGGAGGTGGCATGCCTTTTGGCTGGTGTCACCTGTCCAGTCCCCAGCATCTCCACAAGTGGTACTAAATGTTGGCTAAACCTACCTGATTCCTAGAACTGAGCAAACAGCCTGTCAGGTAGGACTCTATGAGCAATGTTGTAAAAGCTAGTGACCGCAGCGATGACCAGCATTTCCATAGTGCTTACTCTGGGCCAGGAGTGCTCTGGAAACACGGCACAGATTAGCTCATTTGATCTCATCACACAGTCATGAGGTAGGTAATCAATAGAAAGAAGGCAGGGAGTCTCCCTCCCAAAATTTATAATAAAATTTAAATGGGCCTCAAAATTTATAAGAAAAATTGGGTTTCCTTCTGTCTGAGAGGGGGAAAAATGAAGGATTTTGTAAAGGGCCAGTTCCAACGATCCCAGAAATCTATCCATCATTCTTAACTTGGGGATGCTGCCTTGTCCCACGATACCCTCATCATCACAGAGTTCCAGCAATGTCCTTTTACTGAAAAACCTTTCACAGGTTTGGCACTTCAAAGCCGGGCATTCTTCGTTGGTGCAGTTTTCTCCCAGAGAGCGCGTGAATCATAAGAGAAAATTAAATTCCATTCACAAAAGTTGAAGGGCTGAATATATTAAAACTGCCTTTTCATTCTCTGACAGCTAATTGTCCTTGAGGGTGAGCCCCTGCTGCCTGCGAGTCTGTCTCTGCACCGCCCCCCGCCCCCAGAGCCGGCACATGGAAGCGTTTGCTACCTGCCTGACATACTGTGGTAAATGTATAGTGTGACTATGAAGAAATGCAATCGTGTTGAACAAATATACTTTTTTTTTTAGTCACATGAGTGTGTTTATTCTTTGAACTAGTCCCTCGAGGACTTATTCCACCACATGACCCACACTAAGTGGCTTTCCAGAGCCAGTCACCCAGCCCCACTCTAGCTCATGCCTCTTGCCATTTTGTGCCTTCAGCGGCGTTGCAAAGCAGAATTGAGTAACACCTTTCCTTCCAATGGCCAGACTGTCCATTCTAATATGAAATTTTGGCACCACCGACCAAGGCCATGCTACAGGCTCCAAAGAAAACTGAACAATGGCACCAAAGATGATGTATTTAGAGTAAGAATGTGGCTTCCCAAGGTGACTACCTCCTCCAAGAGGCAAACATGTGGCTGAAGTGCTGATGTGTTTATCACAAGGGATGGAGTCAGATGGTCTGACAGTCACACATTTTATGTAGCAGCTCTCTATTCAAAGACTATTACATTAAACAGAAGACCTAATTCTCGTGTCCTGTTAGATAAGAGTCAGTTCCTTCCAAGTGCCCGGACTGGTCATCCATTTTCAAAGAGCTGAGCAAACTCGGGTAGGCATGCCTGTCTCAGAGCTTTCATTCATTGTGTTCCTTCTTTCAGGGATTCCCAACCTGCCCCTCTCCACTTTGTCCCTACCCACCCACTGGAAGCCTGGTGCGCTCTAGGGCTCATGGCTCTTCATGCTCTGAGCTCTCATAGCACTGGATTCCATGGGGTCATTCACAGACGGCTCTTCCTGAATCACCTTATCTTTCAGCTTTCCATGCTGAAAACTTCCTGGGTGGCACCATACACTCCCTGAGGGCACAGAGAATAGCTTATGTGTCCTTCAGTCCCATCCTGGCTATGGAGAGCAGCTTTTCCAAGGGCAAGGGTGAATGAGATGAAGTCTTGGTGGAGACAGGAGGGAAGATAAAGAAAGAAGGACTCTTGACCCATTTTCCCATGACCTATTAGATGGCAAACTGCTCACTCGGGCTTCCCTCCAAACAGTACCTCTTTCCTGATGGACCCAGTGGCACCCTTCCTTTTGGGATCTTCCATGTCTCTTTCCTCTGAGGTAGCCTGAAGCAGCCTGTGCTGTTCCCTGCCCCTAGACAGTCCCCATTGGTGCCCTACTGTTCCTCTGTCCCCTTCCCCTACTGTCCCTTCCCTAGAACTCAGCCCACAGGCAGAGATAGCTGTGGGACCCAGGCTGCTGGCTCTGCCTACCCAGTTCCATGTCTGCCTGCTGCACACACACACCCCCTTCCCCCACTGAACTCCTTCCTGGGAGTCCCATGAACAGCATGTCAAGACGGAGGACGGAGTACCTGAGCCGGGGCAGCCTCCATGGCTCCAACATTACCAGCAAAGCCTGAGAACATTAACATTTCTCCTGACTGACACCAGTCTTCTTTTCTGCAGAAAGTCTCTTCACTGGATAATGGAGGGTTCTCAAATAACTGGCAAGGGCCCTTTCCCCTGCTCCCCCTAGCTCATGTTCCTCAAGCATCTCCCCCACCTGCTGCCCTTTTCAACTCTCTGGCCAGCTTCAGTTACCTTGAGTCACTCGTTCTCTCTGGGATGCCTTGATCCTGTGCCCTTTGCCTCTAGGAGGCAAGAAAAAGACAAACTCACTGGGCTCAGACATTTTCATTTTTAATTTAGGATGTACGGGATGCATCTGGAATTCTAAAGGGATTACCTCAAGAAGCAAAACAAGGTGGGAGAGTTTTCTCTCAAAAATTTTATGTGTTTCCTTTCTCTGTATATTCTCAACCAAAAAAAAAAAAAAAATTACTTGTATAAAAACACAGTTACCCACAGGGATTTTCTTTGTGTTTCTTCCAACTAACCACCTCTTGGGAGGCGTGGATGCGAAGCAAGGTAAGGTGGTTTCTCAAACTGTCCCTGGGGCTTCTAGGACCGCAGTTCCTGAAGCAGGAGAGCATGGCTGGCAGGGGCTACGGTGGTGCTGGCATTTCAACCTTGCTTGGACTTCATGGGCTTCATTGGGATCTTAACCAGGGAAAGCACTTAGAATCAACTGGTCAGAGACAAAAGCAGCTCTGCTTGGAAGCCCTTATTAAAGATAAGAGTAAGCTGTTTGAGGAACTAGCTCGCCCCAGGGCCAGGCCCAGGGCATGAGTGAAAGTTCTGGTTGGTCAGGGCAGGGCTGCGGGCCAAAGGGACAGGTGGAGAAAGGCTGCCATTACATTGGGCGCATTCGCGGACTCCGTAGCTCCCCAGCAAGTACCTTAATAAACGCTTCCATACAGCCGTTAAATAGTTTATGGCTACACACTGAGAGAGGCCTAGGTCTCCTCATTTTCTGTGGTTTAGGGGGAAGACAGGGGGGCCTAGGGAAAATGGAACAAAAGAAAACAAGAAAGCAACGATTGCAAACATACAACTGGGAAAGACGCTCTTAAAACCCGTGACTGGAGAAGAACACAAAATGCAAATGGAAACCCTTGAACCCCAGCACATTGGTGTCCGATGCTCCATCTGAAGGCCTTTGGATGTTTAAGGGGATCTCAATTTACCCACAATGTTAGGCAGGAGCAATGCTCATATAACACAAATGTATTCTAGATTACAGGGGAGAAATAATATGTAGCCAGGAAACCATTGCAACTCCAATCAGAGGCTGTCATCCCGCAAAGCTGACCAGATGGAGGAGGAACCAGGGGAGAGAGATGTAATCTGTAGCCTGAGAAAGCAAGAGACTTTCAATGATGATTGGAAGGGTTAATTTTCATTAATTTGGCTTAAATTCATCACCAAGTCTCAACTCCCAATGTACCAGGGCACTGATCTTTCTAATGCCTCTTGGCATTTCAAATGCACTTGACTAATCTTTATTGCATTGATCTAAGAGCCAGGCAATTATTACTCTCATTTTTAGAGATGAAGAAACTGATGCCTGGAGGGAGGCTACAGCTTTTTTGGGGGTCCCAGGGTAACCCAGGGTAATGATTATATCCTGTGCTTTAGTCAAGTACACTTTTGATTAAAGCACTTTCAAATCCATTATCACACTTAACATTAGCTCCACCCTGTTCAGACAGCTCCATTTTACAGAGGCAGAAACCAAGGCCTCAAGAGAGGGACTGGCAGAGCCAGGCCCCAAACTCAGGCCAGTCACAGAGCCTTAGGGCACTTGTTCATTTCCAGCCAAGGACTCATTCCATCCCATTAACCCTTGCCAGCAGAGGACCTGTTGGGTCAGGTTGAAAGTGTCTTGCTTTACTTTAGGATCTCCATTCCCTGTGCTCCACTCTTGGCTCCAGGGAGGGGAAACCATACTACAGTTCACCAGAAACAGTGAAACAGCCACAAACACCAGACCAGTTTCCAGAGTTGCTCACCATGCATATACCTGTGTTGGCTTATTTGCTCATCTTTCGCCACCCTAGTTGGCCTGACTCAATGACCCCAGCCTCCCAGGGCAAAGGGCTTTCTGAGGTTAGGAGGAGGGCCCCTAACTGAGAGAGGCAGTTCATTTTCAAATGCCTTGGTTCACAATTTGGGGAGCAAGAAGTGGGGACCCAGCTTGGCACAGGTAATGTCCACATATGACAAGCAAAGACCTGGTCCCCCAAGTCTTGGTTGATTTCTGTGAATGGGCAAGAAATCTTATGGATTGTGGAGCCAATCGAGGTGAAAGAGATTCATGCTGCCTCTCTGCTCAGTGGCCTTATCGTGCCTGTCCTCCTCAGCGGCCCAGCCACCTAGGGAAACCTCCTGAGCTTCTCCTACATGTTTGAGTACTGAGCAAATGCTGCTAGCTCCAGGACATGCATGGGCAAAGACACAGCTGAATCCAAGTATCATGCCACCCAAACATTGGAACCAAAATAACAGCACAGACCAAAATTTTAAAAAGAAACAACAGGCAAGACTATTTTGAGCCCATTTTGGATCTATGTCAATTTGGTTAGCTAAGTCCATGTCATTTCTTTTTCATCAGTTACCAATTTTTTGAGGATGTGGGTACGTGGGGGTGGTACTTCTTACAGTGGATCTGCTTTTGAGTTTCCAAATGCCAAAAGAGAGAGTAAAAAAACTGTGACTCGAGGCCACAGGCTTCAATCTTGGGATTAGGAATAACTCGAGGATAGCAACTGCGCCACCTTGTTTCCCTAGCATTCGGGGTTTCTATTTGTGAACATTCTCAGATGGTTTCCTCATCTCACACCCTCACAACAACCCTGTGAGGTAGGCAAGGCTGATTAAATCCACTTGAAACATAAGGCAAATGAGCCCGTGAGAGATGAAGGAACTTTCCAAGCATCTCACAAATAATATGTGATTGAAGCTAAGAACTGAATTCAGCTCTTCCTCTTCAAGATTCTGGTGTGAGTGTGAAATTGGGAAGTTGATTTTTATCACCGAACATCTAGCAGTTGCTTTAAATTATCTATTAAACTCCCATGGCCAGCAAAAGTAGAGATTCTTAATGCAGGGGCTGGACACCCAGCTGGAGGGTTTTCTGAAAGTAAGTCTTACGGAGTTTTTTTCTTTAAGTTTATAAAATGGAATGAAGGGGGGAAAGGATACTTTTCCCATTTCTCCCGCCCAATCCAGAAAGCAAAGAACTGCTCAAACCACACTGGGATTTCTTTCTTTGTGTGATGTTCTGGGTACTGACCAGAAATCTCTGACAAGGAAACGTAGCTATCCCAACTTTGCATGACATCAAATCAATTTTGACTTACTGAAGTGCTGGGTGGGACACAAAGTGGGGAGCAGGGGGGCAGCTCAGCCAAGGAAAGTGGGGCAGCCTAAGCCTTCCATCTCTTCTGCTGTTCAGTTGCAGAGCAAAAAGGAAAGAAAGAGAAAGGCAGGGAAAACAGGAACAGAGAAAGCCACGGAGAGGAAGAGAGAGAAACCAGAGACCAATGTCCCCTTTCTGCCTTTCAATCAAGATGAAAATTTACATACATTGGCAACATAAGAATTGGCCTCAAAATTATTCTGTGACCAAAAGAATGGTGACTAAAATGTTCCCTAGATAACCCCATAGATGTGGGTGTCGATATCCAAAATGGTGCCAATATTGTAGTTCAGAGGCAGTCAGGCCCTTGGAAGCTGTGCATGGGTATGCATAAGGTTCCATCTGTTTAGACAAGAAATCTCATGTGTTTTCATCGCTAGTCCCAACCACAGGGACTAGCCGACCTAGGTTAGAGAAGCCAGTCTATAGCAAGAAAAATCACAATCAAACCTTATGCTTGCATCTTGCTGCCCCATCTATCATGCACTTTTCAAGTGCATTATTGCATCCAGACCACCTCGTTACAGGGTTATGAACTAGCATTATTCTAAGATCAGGTTCTGAAAAGTGAGAAAAAAATGTACCGTATTGCAGCCCATCTGCAAAAATTGGTCTACACACGGCCAGCTGCAACTTGGCTGAGGGGACCTGCTCAAAGGATCATCTAAAATGAAACTAACCTTGGGCAGGAAACCATGGAAGATACGGAGAGCCATAGCATAGAAACATCTCACCCAGGGCCTTTAGGATTAATTTAAAAACCACTTCAAGTTGGCAGCGCATTACACACAAATTTTAAATGAGTTTTGGAAGAAAGGGGAAGCTTTTAGTTTGCTAACAAAGTTGCCTCTGACCTTGGCCAAAGGCCAGAGTACAGATGGCTGGGTTTGCAGTTTAGTGTAGTACGTCTAAGTGGGAGGTCTGCAGTCACAGCTTGCATTTCCCAGGCCCTAGGTCAAAGAGGGTGTGGAAGACTACATCTCAGATGGCTTTATTTAAAAATTTAAAAAAAAAAAAAAAACAAAACTCAACTTTTCTCTAAGTTAGACCCTGGGACCTGGCCAAGGGTTCGATTACAGATCTCTCCTGCAATCTGCTAGAACCATCTTCTTCTGCTTGAGTTCTAGGAATTAGGAAGAAGTGAGGGATGGCTCAATTTGTCCCCCATCTGTTTTCCTATTTGCAGACTTTGGTGTAAAATGTGGCTTATGTTGTTTGGGGACTATGACAACATCTTCTTGCCAGATAATCTAAATAAATAAATAAATAAATGAGTTTGTTTCTGGAAAGTATTTAGAAAGGGACCCTGCACATCTGCTGACCCTTTGCTGGAAGGTCCTCGCCTGGCATTATGAATCACCCTGATATTCCCAGACTTCTGGGGCCAGAGGAACAGCTGCACAGCTAAACTTCTGGGAAGCCCTCTGTCTCCCCATCCTGATCCCAGCAAAGTGAAAACCTCAGAGCTTTCCAAGCCTCTTCCCAGCCAACTCTCTTCCAGATGGACAGGAGGGAGTTGATGGTTCATCTTCCCTTTCGCCAAGTAGAACAGCTTTCCAGGATTCTGGGCCACTGGCTCGATTCGTGTTGGGCAGTGGGGTAACTATTTGCTGGGAACTTGAAAGGAAAGAGATGGGTTCTAAGGAACAACCTGGTCAGCAAAAGTGTTGCTTAGAGATCTCAATACTCTGAAAGTAGATGAAAGGTCCACTCACTGAAGGTCAACCCTTCAGCTACCACCTGATGAGTGGAAAGTGTTCACTGGCTCTGGTCTGCTCAGGGAAAAGCGCAAAAGGTAATGTTGAGCAAGCTGGAGAGAAAGCAGAAGTTGCCCATTTGTTACTGTCTCAGCAAGGGACTCCCCCATCAGTCCATCCAAGTGCCCAGGAGGTGTGAAGCCAGGGTGTGGGCAGTAGGGGCATCTGTACGCGCTTGCGTGGCTATGCGCATGCATATGCCCAGACGTGTGCCACATGAGCCAAACCCAAAGACCTGGCAAATGGGGACCCCAGGCTGGGCCCTCTGCCTGGGGAGGGCAGTTTGCTCAGCAGCCAAAGAACAGATGGGGAGACAGGTCAACAGTTATCCCACAGCTTCTAGCCTCTACTGATTGTCCTCAGCCACTATGCAATATATATTACCGTCCCACCAGATGGATAGCGCCAACAGAACACACCCCACTTTTCCATAGCAGCTTGGGGAAAGGCACCCTCCCTATCACAGGCCTGAAGGGGCATGGCTTCACCAGCATGATGCTAGGACAAGCAGAACAGCCAGCCTCTCTCAGCACAGCCATACCATCCCCTCAAGACACTGGTGAAGAGCTATCCTGCTCTAAAAACAGCCCAGCTTCTCCAAGCTCTCAGCAGCATCTGCTTTCCCACCTTCCCGCCTTCCCACCTCTCCTGCACTTCCCAGCCCCTCCCGCTCCCCATCTCAGGCAGCAGGTGCCAAAAAACAAGATCCCCAAGTCTTACCTGGTTGTGCCACATTCTGCTCTCTCTCCTGGAAAGAAAGGTATACACTGATGTTTAATT